CTCTTCTGGTAGGAATGGGCTTGGCTCATGGTTCTCTGGTTGGAGAAGCTCATCTAGCAGGGAGCTTTAGAACCTGAGAGAATGACTACTGCTCTTGGTCCCATTTGCCACCTGGAGCTCATGCTGTGTTTGAGGCCTTTCCCTGGGAGAGGCATGTGGGGAGAAGCTGACAATCCAGAGGATGGAGCCCTCCAAAGACAAGGGCCTGGCCCCTCCCCCACCACACACAGTGTAGCCTTGGTTAGCAATTTTTTTCTCTGGGATAACTTTCCATTTCCAGATATTAAAAGAACTGAATGGACTCACACTAAAATGACCTAGGATGGCCGGACTTGGTGGTGTACATCTTTAATCCCAGCACTTGGGAGACGCGGACAGGTGGATCTCTCTGAGTTCAAGGCTAGGTCTACAGAGCAAGCTCCAGGTCAGCCAAAGCAAAATAGTGAGGCTGTCTCTCAAAAATCAATCAATCAACCAACCAACCAACCAATCAATCAAATGACCTTGGATACCACAATCTTCTTAGTGAATGGAAGAACTTTTTCAAAGCTTCCAATTTCCTACCTAGCGTTTTAGAGTTCCACAGGTGTGTGTGTGTGTGTGTGTGTGTGTGTGTGTGTGTGTAGGGGAGGTGACACTGCTCAATGACATTCCTAGAATTACTGCATATACAAATCCATTTTGGATGAAATTCCTGAAAGCTGACTCTTATTTGGAAAACTTAATTACTTTTTTTTTAACCACATTGAGTAATTGTCAGAGAAAATAACTTGAGTTCTGATGAGGGAAAAAATAAACAAAAGGCTGTGTGAGGCGTGGATAAAGACCCATCAAGTAACAGTTCAGATCATAAATTTGTTTTGTAAGAGTTTTATTAAGTTCATACACAAATAACCCTTATCCACTTGCGGTGTATAATTCGACAACAGTATGTTCAGACCTGTGCAATCATTACCACAAGTAACTTTAGCCTATTCTTATCACCCCTGGGGGAATTCTCCCATGAGCCATGAGCCACCCCAATCCTGGGCTACTTGTAATCCATTTTACCTGTAGATTTATCTATTTCTGGACATTTTCCCACATACATGGAATCCTAGGATATATAGTAGTTCTTGGCTGGTTTCTTCTCCTTATCATTGTGTTTCTAAAGTCCATGTGTTGGAGAAGTACTTCTTCCCTTTTTGTTACTATCATTCCATGTAGGAATATTCAATTAGTATCTACCCATTCTTTGGGTGCTTTCCACTTTGGGACTGTTACACATAATGCTGCTATATGAACACTGATGTGCAAATTTTTGCATAGACATGCTTTATCTTGAGCATACACACCACACATTTAGATTTGTTGGGTCACTTGGTGACTTCATGCTTATCCTTATGAAAACTTACTTGCCCAGGTGGCTGCACCATTTTCTGGTCCCACTAGCAATGTATAAAGGGTTCCAATCTCTCCACATCTTCAGTAACGCTTCTTGTCTTCCTTTAGATCCATTGTAGAATGATGTGTGTAGTGGCATTCCATGGTGATTTTGATTTGCATTTCCCTAATAACCAATGGTGTTGAGCATCTTTTCAAGGGGCAATTTGCATATCTTTGGAGAACCATCTATTCAAACCCTTTCCCCATTTTAAAATTTCAATTCATCAATTCATTAAGAGTTCTTTGTATATTCTACATATAATCCTCTTATGCAAATTTTTGTTGTTGTTGTTTGAGACAAGGTCTCACTATGTAGCTCTGGCTAACCTGGAACTCACTCTGTAGACCAGGCTGGCCTAGAACTCAGAGATCCTGCTGCCTCTGCCTCTCAAGTTCTGGGTCATCACATCTGGCTTTTCATGTTTTCAAACTCCCTTGGTGAAGTCCTTTGAAGCATGGCAAGGTCCAGATTTCTAGGAAGTCCAACTTTCCCGCTGCGTCTTTTGATGTATTATCTGAGAAACTACTCCCAAGTCTAGGGTCAAGAAGGTTCACTCCTCTGTTTTCTTCAAACAGTTTGAAAATTCTTTCAAAAAAGAGTTTTAAAGCAAGAGTCTAATTTCATTCTTTGCATGTCAATATGCAGTTGTCCTGGTACCTTCTGTGGAAGCCCTTCCCCCAAATGAATAGTCTTTGTACCCTTGCCAAAACCAACTGGCCCAGAATATGAGGGTTTCTTCTGGCCTCATAATTCTAGTCCTTCATAGTCTTCATTACTGTAGGAAGTTATGAAATTAGGACATGTGAATCTTCCAATTCTGGTCTTTTCAAGATTGTCTTGGCTCTTCTGGGTTCCTTAAATTTCTAAATAAATATATCTGACGCCAGCCAGGGGTTTCGCAATGGAAAATGCTTACAGTCTCAGAATTTAATAGACAATGGGGACACTAGGTCTGTGGGTAATTTGCTTTCAACAGCACACAGATTATTTACTTCATTACATTTGTGACAGGATGTATTAAAAACTAAACTATTACTGAAGGAAACCTGAAGCCTGACAATCTTACTAGTCGACAAAAAAAACAGTATACTTGCAATATCATTTCTTTCAGGGGGTAATTCAATAAAATTATATAATGGAACAAATTCATTCCTATCAGCGCATTTTGTTTATTTTTAATACTAGACTTTGGGTTATGTGTGGAAGAATATTTTATGCTTTTGAGGCCCTAACCCAGGGTCTAATACATGCTAGGTTAATGCTTTGCCACTAAGTTCCATCTGTAGCCTGCAAATTCAAACAAAACAAAACAAAGTAGCAAAACACTCAATATTTGCATACTTTTAATTAATCATGAAGCATTAAATAATGCTATTAAGAAAAAAAATTGAAAGTGATCCTGCTGCTGTGGGAGGTTATATGGATAAAGCAAACTTTTTCCAAGTAGAGAAACTGCTATAAATTTGGTCTCAGAGCCAAGTAGATTACATCCCATAAGTAATGACTGCTGACAGATGTGCACCTCTCTGACCACATGAAGTGCAGCATTAGAGGACAGCTGAAGAACACCCCATAAGCACTTTTGCTTCCCCAGTGAGGCCAACAGCCCTACATGAAGAGCAAACAGAATACACACACCTAATGTACTAGCCAGAGCGGCTCTCTACAGCCAGCTTTCCACAGTCAGTGAAATTTCTTCCCAGTTTGATGATTGATTGGAGAGAGAGAGAGAGAGAGAGAGAGAGAGAGAGAGAGAGAGAGAGACAGACAGACAGACAGAATGTGTGTGCATACGTGCGTGCACACATCCACAGAAGCCAGAAGATGACATGGGATCTTCTGGATCTGGAGTTACAGGTAGCTGTGGGCCACCCATGTGGGTATTAGGAACTGAACTGAACTCGGGCCCTCTGGAGGAGCAGCAGCAAGGGCTCATAACTAGTAAGCCATCTCTCGAGCCTCTTTTCCCAGCTTCTGGGGAGCTATCAACTGAGGCACAAATACACAGTATGATATGATGCTAGCCAACATTTACCAAAATTCTGTTAAATGTTTGGCAGCATCTCATTAGATGTTTATAACAACCCTAGGTTATAGATCCTAGCAGTGTTTCCATTTAAAGGTAAAGAAACTGAGGCACAGGGAAGCTCAGTGATCAATCCACTAAGGCTATCTGTCTATTTAACTACTTTATCATCCTAGATTTCCAAGAAGTTGTTTCACTGAAGAACTGCTTCATTCTTAAATCAGATCAGTCACTACCAGCTGGGAGATGTAATAGAAGATGGCACGTGAATTGATGTAAGTGTTTAGAAAAAAAATTGGCCAGTTGGTGGTGCACGCCTTTAATCCTACCTGGCAGAGGCAGGTGGCAGAGGCAGGTCTGTTGAGTTCAAGGTCAACCAGGTCTACAGCCAAGACTGTTACCCTGAGAAACCCTGTCTCAAAAAACCAAACCAAACCAAACCAAACTCAAAACAAAACAATACAAACAAACGGACAAAAAAAATAAAAAAAAATAAAAAAACAGGAAAGAAAGTGGAAAAAAAAAGTATACTGGGCACAGTGGCTCATGCTATAAACACAGGAGGTGAAGGCAAAACAGTTCTCAGATAATTCTAAGTTGGAAGCTAGCCTGAGCTACACAGGATCTTTCCAAGAGGAAACAAAACAAACAAACAAACAAAACCCCCATACACTTGACGACTCTGTCTTCATTTCTTAGGAAACAGGGTCCTCTGACCGCCACATGCTTGCTGTGGCACATCCATGTTTATACTCATTGGCAGACAGACACATAGAATGAGAAGTTCTGAGTTTCAACTCTTACCTCATTTTAAGGAAAGATTTATAAAATTGGAGAAGAAGTGAGAAATAAAGTACGATGAGTTTGACGTTTCTGTCTCCCTACAGAGCAGTATATAGTTATGCCTCCAACTGGACTATAAACTGAAGGGGTGCGGCTACTGTGCCTGTATTTATACTGTTTCCCTTTGGCTCAGGAGAGTACACCCAGTTGGCCCAAACCAGGCATCAGTCAACTCTGCCTGTGCATATTATCTAGCTGTTTTTGTGCTGTATGCGCAGGGTTCTGTGGAGCACCAAAGCTTTTATGGCCCATAGAGCCCATTTACTATTTGGCCTCTCTGAAAGAGTGCTAGCTAACTCCTGCTCTACAACCAGAAGCAATCTTTCAGAGCGGACCATTTTTCCTTTGCAGCGCTAACCATGCCCGGTTAGCATCTCTCTTCATCCTCAGATTACCAAGTGAGCACCAAATGACACAGACGACAACACTCAAGTGTGAAAGAAACCAACGTTTTCACAATGCCATCAGGGGAAAAGAACTTTATAAATAGGAAAAAAACCCCATTAAGTAACAGGATTTGCTTTGCTTTGCTTTACATTAATTTCTCTCCTTTAAACTGATTACAACTTCAAAGGCCCATTCGCCTCATTTGAATTCGAACACATTCTTGCTTACAAAGAAAGGATTAAAATGGAGCTGCTCGAGTGTTCAAAGGCAAGAAGGACCACAGTGCTCAAGATTGGGAAAGCCTGGCAGTCACGTGAGTCAGTGCAAAATCTGCATTTTATTAAAGACATGTGGGAAGATCCATTCAAAAATACATTGTGCTCAGTAAAAATTAACCATTTCATGCTGTTAATGAAGCTTACCACGGAGTAGATATTTGTAGAATATTGTACAGCAACAATAGAAATTTTACAGAAGTTTAGAATGGAATACATGCCAGAAAAAACTTGATAAGATGTACCAACACATGATACAAAGAGTTATAGAAACACTTTACAAATGCTTCGTAATTAGCTTGTGAGGAATTTTAAGTATTCAACACTTTAAATTCAGTTTGGATTCAAAAATTAAAAAGATTAACAACCACATCACACCCTTGCCACAGTAAAAAGTATGGAATACACTTTATATAATGGTTTATAAAGTCTGTGCAATTAAGAATGTCCACTGATTATCTACCACACATCGGATGGCATATCCCTCTGGCTTATCCCTATTTTTGTTTTTAAGAATGAACAGGGGTTTCAATGTCACCCTGTCCTGTGCCTTCCCAGATTACCCCCTTCAAACTTAGTAAAGATTGAAGAAGTTCTGATAATTGTCTAAGTATATACAGAATAACTACCTGAATTCAGAATGGCACAAAGCAATTCTTGGAGATTGAACTCTGGGTTAACTATTTTGTTTGGCTTAATTGTCTCTGTTCATCAATGCAAGTTTACAGTAAGAATTGACTTCTTCCTATGGCCACATGGCCGCTCCTCCCCGAGGCCACCCCATCACTGACCAGAGTAAACAAGGAGAGGGAGAGAGACCGGTGACTAGAACCCACTGATCACCCCTAGGGAACATGGATTTTCTGCGAGCTTTACTTTCCACTCTTGGAAACTCGAAGCCAGTATGGAGAATACACATTCTCCAGAAGGAAAAGCATCGTCTTTCTCATGAAACTCCACTGAATTTAAACCAGAGCTTTTGATGATTCTGGCAAGAAACACTTTAATCCCCAAACAGGGACAAAAGTCAAGGCATCTAGCATTTCGATTCCTGGGTTTCTTCGGATGAGCCCTGAAGCACAGCACTAGGACCAGCTTGTCTATGCCTGAAATGACTCACAGCAGCCTTCTGGGAACGGAAATCCTGAGGGATTCTCAGCGGGTCTGCCAAACAGGAGGGGACACGGAGGAGGGACAGATAAGGCCTCTTTCTCCCTGATACTCTGCCTGGGAAGAGCAGCAAACAAGGCAACTTCTAATCTGCATACAACACGGAGACTGATTTCAGATTCCCAAGGAGGATCAATTGGACCGAGGATCGAAGGGGGTGGAGAGAGCTTACCCTTGTGAGAAACGAAGGGCCTTCGACATGAAAGTGGTTCCACTCTGCCGGTTCTGCTGGCCCCACAAATCCAGCTTACAGACTAGGACAATTTTATTTTTTTCTGGCAAAACAAGAGACAACTCTTCCTTAAATGTGGGAGTGAACAGTCAATGAAAATACAAGGCAGGTCAAGATCATATTTAACAGCCTACAATAAATAGAAAGAAAGGTGGGTCATGCCCAGAGAGGAGAAAGGTGGAGTAGGGACCAGACCAAATGCTGATGAATTAACGAAGCACTGTGGGCAACGATGATATATGTAAGCAACTGGTTTGCACAAAGTCTACCATCTTGTATAGTACATTCAATTAAAAAAAATTGCATGGGCAATAGGCCCAGAGTTTCCTAGCCACCTGGCTTTTCCCTTCAGGTGTATACAAACAGATAAGGGGCTTCATTTTCTTGCATGGCTCCTCATTCATGGTTTCCAAGATTTTTTTTTAATCAGTTGAACCAGACCTCAAGATAGTCTAGATTTCAGCTGTTCAAGAAGCAAAAGGGGAAACCACAACCACTTACAAGTTTGGATTTTTCGTTTGTTTGATTTTTATTTTCTGGTAATCTGCCCTTTTATAATGTGGTAGGGACCTTCTCCTAAGACTCTGGTCCCAGGGATTAGTGACATCTGTACTGTCTTTTCTGCAGTCCCTTTTAAAGAAATCAGAACTGTTATTTCTCAAACCATAACTGAACTGCAATGAACTTTTATTAGTGATGAACTGAAGAAGGCAAGGAAATACCCTACTGCTTTCTGACTTGGATTAGTTAACCATATCACTGCCACAGTTCACAGAAACAGGCATCTATGGATCTTCTTACCCATAGAGGGGAGTTCAGTAGCCCACTCTAATGCGGTAGGTAATGAACTTCTAGATGCAAAAGCAATGGCTCTCAGAACATAGGTTTCTGAGCGTAAAAGAGACACAGTTTTGCTGAGTCCCAGCAGTGACTTCTAATGAGTTATTTGTTGTCCTTGCCAAAAGTTCTGTCACCACCAAGACCTAGGTGAACAGAATGGACAAAGCCTTCTACACACTGGAAAAGTAATCCTCTGGCCTTTGAAAAAATGATACACATATGAGTTATTCTCAATACATGGCTAGAAGAAAATAAATGGCTTTTTTCCTTATTTACTCTAAAGACTAGTTTAAGTGAGGATACTATGATATCAACTAAGAGGTACTGGGAAGGGCAAATGGGATAGCATTTCCTAGTGGAGTCCACTAATTTTCTGATTAGGAACATGCTAAACTGGCTAAGTCTACAACCACAACATACTTTTATAATACACAGCATGACTAGAGACTGACCAGCATAGGTCTGCTTAGAATTAAATTATACAACTGCATATGGTGAGTCTTAAAAGCATGTTTTAAAAACAGATTTAACCAAAGCATACAGCACAATACTTCTAGAATAGCCACATCACAACCACCAATAAAGAGTTTTGCTTCTAATCAGTCTGCCATATGCTAATATTTGTAAGGATCTATTACATGACTTGAATAAATAACAAAGACATTTTCTTTCGGCAGACACAGCTGAAAGCCATGATGCCTTTGAGCAGTTGGTAAAAATCATGCCAATCTGCCAGGCTGTTGCTTGTTTCTAAATATAAGCCTCATGGCTAAGAAAGATTTCCTAAGGCTGCTAACCTAGAATTTAAGTTCTCAAACGTATATAAAGTAACTCTGGTTTCCTCCCAAAGTATGCACCTTTTAGCAGGTCCAAGACAATGGAAACAAACAATAGGATTGCAAGGATTTGAGAACAGTGGTAGAGGATTCTTAAAGAGAGTACAATGCTGAGGAGTTCACTCCTGCAGTTAAGTAGCCTGGAAAACCCAGGGCCAGAGGCAAGTTCTGCAGAGTGGTTGGCCTGGAGTGGTCTCAGGCAGGACTTCTAAACATTGGCACTAGTTAAGGGCTGGAACACCCTCGAGGATGTCTAGCAATGTCCTAGGCCTCTACTCACTAGATGTTGGTAGCAGCCCAAGACAACCAAATGCCTCCAGACATTGTCAATTGTGCCCTGGAGAACAAAAATGCCCTTGGCTGAGAAGGGCTGCTGGAAAGGCAGCTCACTTGAGCCTCTTGGCATGGGGCACTCCCTTCTGGTCTGGGGCTCTGGAGAGTCCTAAACTTCGGTCAAGACCAAACAAAGATCAGTTAAAGCTTACTTAGAGCTTCAGAGAAGAAAAAGAGGGTGATAGAGAAGGGAGAGAAAACCAGTGGAGCCAAGGTTCTTTTCAAAAGGAGATCAGCAGTAATTTCCCACCACAAAGTACTCCATAAGCCTCCAGTTCAACCTTTGTGTCCTTTAGGATGTCAGGGCAGAGAAGAGAACATGGATGTCATCAATTCCCCCTTCTAAAGAAAATGTGGGGGGTTGTGACTTTCAGTCAACTCCTTCCTGCCACAAATGGTATCTTTTTGAGGTCAATGAACGACCTACCAGAGGGGGAGGTGACAGTTAAAAGCTAAGAGAGGGCCTATTAGATCCTAGAGGAAATGTTACCGCCCCCATCTGGGAGCAGGAAGAGAATGAATGGGATTGTAGATTCACTTACAGCTTCTTGAGGGTCAAGGAAAAGTCAGAACAGACACGAGCTAAGAAGAGGATAAAAGAGTTATTAGCTCAGAAACACTAGCTGAAAACGTAGCCATTTTCTGGCTCAAATCTGGGAATGTAGGAAAAGTAAGTATTGACTTCATCAGTTAGGATTAATTTGCTTTAGGTAGAAGGCAATTATTCTAGCCCTTCTTTGAAGAACCATCATGAATATAAATGTTCTACAAACATCTGAGATCCCAGTGTTAGTAAAGATGCCAACATGGGAAACCAGCCCCTTGGTGATGACGAGCCATTAATGCCACAGCATGGCAATGGGACCTCACCGTTCCTAAGCACATAGCACAGTGAGAAGTCTTTCCAGAGGAAACAAAATGTAGTTTCTGTTTTGCAGGAGCAAGGGGGGGGGGTGTACAAGGTACTAGGGATTTAGTATGAAAAAGAAGAGTTAAATATACACCTTTTTAGTGTTACTATATCCAGGCAAAAACTGCTGAAGGTCTGCCTCACTTGGATAACCAAAGAGTTGCCTGGGAAAAGCCACAGAGCTACCCAGACAGTACTGAACTGGCAACAGAAACGAGATAGGAAAAGAACCAAAGAGCATGCAAATTGAATCAAATTGTTTCTATGATAGTACCCAGTTGAGTTTCATTTTAGTGCCTATTATACTTATCAAAATTAAGTAGAAGCACCTTAAAATGACCTCTTTATATAATCAATACACATTATAGTATTTATATAAATATGAAATATGCACACAATTTAAGTTTCAAAGAATCTAAGACCTTTATAATTGTCATAATCATTAGTGCTATGATTCTCAAAATCTCAGGGAAGGGTTAACAGTAACTCAGCATATTTCAGTGACAGCTGACTTTATTTGGGGACTGACACTCTCAGAATTCTGGAACAAGTAGTAAATACTGAAAAGTTACCTCTTTGAAGGATGGGAGTGATCTCTAAAAGTCTTATTGCTAAGAGACTACTTTCAAAACTCTATGACTATTGGTAGATGATGGTGTTGAGGTGTTGATTTCTGTCAAAGATGGTCCAGAGACAGGTGGGTATAACGCTGGCCCCAGGCCTTGATGATACTTTATACTAACTCGGGAGTTGAAAGAGATCAAATGAGGGAAGGCTAAGTCCTGTTCTGATGGATGGGGTGTATGTATATACAGGTTACATGATGACCTTGTTATAAACAGTCCCAGGAAGGAAAAAAAAGAATGTAGTAATTTTCTCTACATCTGGAATTGCTTCAGGAGCCTTTTAAATATATTAGAAGAGCAACAACAACAACAACAACAAAGCATTTAGAAGAAGAAATGCCATACACAGAGCTCATATCCCACCTGGAGGCAACAATCTCCAGGAGGGCGGACAGCATTCAGGAGCATAGAGCTGGTTTGCAAGATCCGATCCGCAGACAGCTGCCTCTTACAACCTCACAACAAGGAATGTTCACTGACAAATCTTTGGTCTACACTCTAACACTAATGCTAAGTGGAAGAGCGCATTCTCCGCAAAGACCCATGAGCACGACTTCTGCCTATCCTCTCGTGTGCAAGTTAATGTCCCTGGACACAAATGAGAGTCTAAGCACAGAAGTGAAGCCTGCTGGGATCCTTGCTGGCTTATCCAACGTTCTTCTCCTGTGGGTCTACAGAGAGATGCCGCATTCGTCTGCTACCAAGGATCATGTCTAGAGGCTACTGCTGGGGCCAAAAAGTTGAGCAAAGCTCATTCTGTTACAGTCACATGTAGCCACAATTCAACTCCCTTTATTATAAGTATAATGCTCACTTCATATCACAAATGTATAAAAATATGGCAGATAGTGTCATAATGATACTTTCTTTAAATGAATATATTTATAAAACAGACAGTTATTTACCATATATATTTATATATAGAATAAAATACTCCTGATGCAATATATAAATGTTACTGTTTAGTTTTTATAGAAACTACTGTAGCTGTCCCAGTGCTTCACAATGTTCCAAACAGCTCAAAATAACTTTACATTATAACATAAAAGGTATGATTACAACAGTACAATATTAATTATAAATAAATGTTACAAATCCTATCAAATATGGAAGCTTAGAAAACAATTTAAGACATACAGTTCATCTGCTAACCCTTCAAAGGGATACTCCTAGATTACAATAAACTCCACATTTAGTCTAGTCAGAAAAAAATATGTGGTAAGGGCATCGGTCAACATGAATTTTCTATCCCTCAAACAGCCAGGACATACCCTGGCTTCCCCAAGTTCAACAGAGATTGCACTAAAGCTGGAATGTAACAGGGAGAAACTGGCAAGAATTTCGTCTTCCTCAATGGCACACTCTATCCATTCTCACACAAGACCTGTGGGGAGTGGTGATCCCTAAGGAACTCCCGTGGCTCTAAGATCCCTGACTAGCATTTGTGGCTGAGAGGAGCCAGATGGCCCCCCTCACACACAATATTGCACACACCTTCATAAAGCTGAAAATACTGGCTTACTACCCTGGCCCAGCCCATTTCCCAGCCCACCCGGCACCCTCCCCTCCCAACTGGCATGTCTCCCCCCTCCCCACCCTCGCCCCCCCATCCCAGCATAAATTACAAGGCTGTCTCTTTTAAATCATTCAGATTTGGCATTCGTGAGCGATTTGTTCTGTTATAAGGGTGCCCGTTTGGCCCACCCTTGGCACCCAGTTGCTCAGAATAGGAAGGTCCCTCTGTGGCACTCCTGGTCACAGAGGACACGTGCCATCCAGGATCCATCTGACCTGGCAGCTGAAGGGCTGGCCTGCCCTTTGGTGTAGGCTCCGGCCGGATGTTGCTGCTCCCACCAGAGGCCTGGCTCAGGGGGTGAATCCGAATTTCTGAGAAGGAATTTTTGGTTTGTTGAGCTGTTAAGGGCTGGAAACGAGGATCTGAAGAAGCCGGGTGATTGGTCGACGACGAGAGATGCAGCAGCTTGCGAAGGGATTTGAGTGGCTGGCTCTGAAAGAAAGATTAAGGTGAGCACAAGATTTAATTCGGAGTAGACAAGGGAGCTGGGGGGACGTGGAGTTCAGGTGCAAGACAACTAAACAGAGGAAGGAAGGGAGAAGATATGGCTGGAGGGGCGAATCCAGCTTCATCTGGTCTCTGGGTTTCCTGAAACAAGATTTTAGTCACTCACTGCCTTTACATGAAGGCCTAGAAATGTAGAGAAAATAACTAGAGATACTCAAAGGTAGCGCCTGAAAGTCAGGGCTCCTTTGATCTGGCTACATCCTGTCCTTACCCAGACAGAAGAAGCAACAAGAGATAGAGGCGTGCCTCTCTCCTTTTTCAGAAGACTTCCCAAATAAGTCTTCCATTTATATCTCACCAGTTTTAGGATCAATCTTAATTGTCAACTAAATGGATTTAGAATCCCTGTGGAAATCCACCTCTGGGTGTGTTTGTGAGGCTGTTTCCAAAGAGATTGAATTGAGGTGGGAAGGTCCACCCTGAAAGTGGGCAGCACTATCCCACTGACAGGTGTCCTGGATTGAGTAAAAGGAGAAGGAATACACTGGTACCCATGACTTTTTCCTGTCTGTGGATACAATGTGACCTGCTGCCATGCCTTCCCCGCTGTGATGGACTGTACCTTCAACCTGGGAAGGTATTTTGTCACAGCAATGGGAAAAATAATTACTACAACTAAATAGAACTTGGGCATGTAACCATATTTAGCTGCAAGGGAATCTGGGAAAATGTATTGCTTTAGGTAGCAATGACACAAGTTAAAAACTGTATAGCACTTCTTATTTGTTTAATGTTCGCTTTCTTTTGATACTAAGTCTACATGCACTAAATCTACTGTACTTTTACTTTTTCATTTACATATCTTTGAGGTGGGAATGGCCACAGTTTGGGCACTAAAAATACAAAGCATTTATCTCAGTTGCTCACAGAAGGACTGCTTAGTGGACTTCCTGCGTGCAGAAGGGCTGCTGGCCAGAGGCTCCACAGGGTACAGTGCTCTGGAGGGAGACTGGCGTGAAAGCAGAAGGCCAGGTCTTGGGCTCCAAGTCTTGATCCTCTCTGCTCCTAGCCTTTATGTAGCCCAGGCTGGCCTGGATCTTTGTACATTGTTGGAAAATGTTATTTTGAGGTGTGTTACTTTTGTTTTTGTTGCATTTGTGTTTAACTCTGTGAAGTTACTGTGCCTGTCTAAAACACCTGATGGTCTAATAAAGAGCTGAACGGCCAATAGTGAGGCAGGAGAGAGAAACGGGGGGGGGGGGGGGGGGGGGGGGGGGGGGGGGGGGGGGGGGGGGGGGGGGCTGGCAGGCAGAGAGGATAAATAGGAGGAGAGATCTGGAGAAAAGAGATCTGGGAACAAGAGAGAAGGAGGAGCACTTCAGGGGTCAGTCGGTCACCAAGCCACCCAGCTACACAGCCAGACAAGGAGTAAGAGGGAAAGAAAGGGTAGACAGGAATAGAGAAAGATCAAAGCTCTGAAGCCAAAGATAGGTGGGATAATATAAGTTAAGAAAAGCTGGCAGGAAACCAGGCAAGCTAAGGCCAGGCATTCATAATGCAGAATAAGCCTCTGTGTGTGATTGATTGATTGATTTGGGAGCTGGGTGGTGAATCCTCCAAAAAAGCCCAAAGAGTAAACACCACACTATAGTACATAGCCCAGGATACTCTCAAACCGTTCACACTCCTGTTTCCAACTCCCAAGTGATGAGACTACTGGGTGGCACCATTCTGACTACTTTTTCTTTTTTATTAAAATGATGAAACGAGTCTTTCCTAGTGAATTTTATAAAATTAGCAAGCAATCATAATAATTCAGCATCAGCTGGAGCTGTGAGGTTACCAGAAAAGGGCTCCTTAGCATCACGCCCTCAGATCTTTGTGTTCGAATAATCAAATAGTTTGAATAATCAAAAAATTAGGAAATTTGATTCTCTATGTTCCCTTACCTCCCAGAATAGATTATGCTCTAGGTACAGAATATATATGGCCAGGCAAAGAGAATGGCAGTTTTAGAGAACTCTTGTTTATAGCTCCGAGTAACAGATTATAGTGAAACAAGTCAGATCTATAATCTTGTAGGTAAGACATAAAGCCAGGTTTTGTTAGTTCCAGGACAGTTTGGGAGACACAGAAAAATGCAGGCCAAATTGCATTTAACTGGCAAAATGTTTTCCTAAGAACAAAAGAATAAAACACAAAGCCTATAAAAAGAGCCATTGCTTCTAAATCCCAAACAATTTGGTTAACTAAACATGCTAGACTTGGTCACTATGTCTATTATAGTGAATTGAAGAGATCCAATACTGAAACATTTCCAATTATCATTAACTGTTTAAAACAGATGGTACCTGACAAAAATAAAATTCAAGTTCTCCATTATGGCAGGGAACTATAACCCCGTGTTACTGTATAATATGTAATTTCTAATATAAGAATTTGACTCTTTATAAAACCAGTTTGGATTTCAGAAGTTAAAATGTTCTTTTAAGAAAGCTTCTAGTGCCTGGTTTTCATGGCCCAATTTACATGCTAACACCTTTAAGGTAACCTTAATCCTCTGAGAACCTTGGTTTATCTTCCTCAATAGTTCATGGCATGCCGTACTTTTTACTAAGATCTTTATGAATCTTTCTCTCCTGAGATGTGGCCTGAATGTGGGCAAGAACTATTTCTTTTGCATCTCTCCACATTGCCCCACTGCTCTCCATGTTAGATGAAAGACAGTGGGGGGCTAGCTCTGTTCCAGTGGAGGAAAGAATCAATGGCAGGATTCATCCTGACCTCCAAAAACCATTAAGGCTACTCGTTAGGGTCTATTTGGGGGAGGCTCAATTTTTTTCTTCATTGCTCTTCCATCCCAGGACACACTGTTGCCTGAAAATTGGTGAACCAGACTCACCTGGGTCTGCAGATCCGCCAGCTTCTCAGGGCGCCACTCCTTTGGTCTGCTGCTTGCAGTGCTAGAAGAATGAATGGCTTTCTGGAGAGTCAGAAGATCGGGACCATCAGTGTTGGGTACCTAGAGGGAAAGATGGAGAAAGATGCAGCAAGCATCCCAATAACCCTAATTAAGATATACAACCACAACCAAGAGGTGACCCAAACTGAAAAGTAAATTAAACTGAACCAAAATTCAAAAGAGGGAGAAAAAAACCCAAAAGGACCCAGTAAGTAAACCAAAACTCTCCAAATGCTCAGGATGCAAGTGGTGCTAGTTAAATCCTGCTGCCTTCGTAATAATTTTCCCTGCATTAGGAAAAATTGGCAGATGTCATGCAGCCTGGTTAAAACTTTAACCCTTAAAGCATTCCCATGCTGTTAGTTTCAGTAGCTGTAAGAGAGAGCAGTTAAAGTGGACTGGACCAGGAACTGCTGTTGGATCCTCATCCCATACTGCAGTTAGGTTATGAACCAGTTCAATAAAAAAATTTCATGCTGGGAATATGATGCAAACTCTGTATTTGATGTTGCCAAAGAAGTCTAGGGGGGCTTGCGAGGGGCGAGAAGTGGGGAGGTATGGTTTAAATCATAGTCCCAAATTGCCCAGTAAATCTGGGTCTGGCCTTGGACACTTAGGAACTGCTAGAAATTTATGCCACAAATTTCAAATGAGCGCAATTGTTCTATTCAATGACTTTGACGGACAAAGGAGAGCTGTGCCAAATGCCAAGCAAAAGCCATGGCTCTACACCTAGTGACCAGCAAAAGCTAAAGGCAGGTAAGGAAAGAGTGAGTTATCAACTAGTACAAGCTGCTTTTTTCATGGAGTCTGCTAGCTCAATCACTTTGGTCAGTTCAGACTTGGTTTCAAGGAGACAAACTGCCAACCAAATGGTAACAAAGTCCATGTGGTGAGCCAAGGGCAAAAACATTTGTTGACTATAAGTGTTAATCAGATTCTTTACAGGAATTAAAGGACTTCATGAATGCTGCCTGATAACAACTGGCTAATCAGGGCATCCAAACCAGCCTTACTAGTTTGTTTAGTAGGCTTAATGCTTCAACATCTTTAATGGATGAAGAAAACCCAGACTAGATATAAATATAATATATACATATAGAATATATGTATTATATACATCCATATATCCCAGTGAATTTATGGAACTGGCTCAGGCACTTAACTAGCACAAAGAGAATATGACCCCATGAAAAAGAAGACATGCTGTTGTCATCAGTAAAACAAGTTTACTGGAGGAGTTTCAGGGCTACGATACGTAAAAACGGGTACCATGGGTGGAGTGACTACAGGAAGCTTTTTCAAAGAAGAACTATGCTTTAAATGATTCTTTGAATTAAAAAGAGGAAAGAGGGATTTCTTGATGCTTGGATTCTCCCCGTTGGTGGAGTCTGTCTGTAATATAAGATACAAATGAGCTAATTGCAAAAAGAAAAAAATAGGTAAAATAAATAGGTGCTTTAATTGAAACTACTAGGGCTTGGTAGTCCTCAAATGATTAAATAGTAACGCTCAGGGAGAGACTGTCTGAGCTAGGCATCTAGAGAGATTAGCTGTTACTTTTTGATTGGAAACAATAACGTAAGTTTAGGCAAGTACAAAACACTTCAGAGCCTATACCATGATTATGAACAATAGCCCAGGAATGCCTAGAGACCTTTAGGCATCTGCTTACATTATGTTTACTTAAGAATGTATTTATTATCACAAATTATTATGAAGAATTGTGTGTAATGAATTACTGATGAACTTCAGTCATTTCCTAATTGTTAGGACTTCAGGAACTAAAAGATTCTACCATATGGCTTGTTTATTACAAAAGAATATATATTTTAAGTCACTTTGAATTTCTTAGTCAATTATCTTGACTAAATATCATTTGGAAGAGGATTGCCATTGTGTGGGATTCTAAGGTTAATTAAGTAGCCCCATTTCTACACTGTTAGAAATATACACCTCATTTAAAACATCTGGCACAATTCTGCATTCTGGTTTTCAAGAAGGTAACAACAGTTTAATCTTCAGGGCTGGTAAGGAGGATTAGTGGGGAACTTGGCAACTTGAGTTTGATTCCCAGAACCCACAAAAAGGTCAAAGGAGAGAGCCAACTCTACAAAATTGTCTTCTGACCTCTATATACTGTGGCTCCTCTGCACCTTCCTCCCCCATATCATGCGCACGCACAAAATTCTTTTAAAAGTTCAATCTTTAAATTGACGTATCATTTCAAGTTGAGGTACTAAAGAAGATACAAATTACCAAGTTGGCCAAGGCACCATATGCTCTGATGGTTTATGTAACTCCCTGGATATATGGCTATACATCCGAAGCCAGATTCCCCAAGGCAATTTCCAGACTTGCTTGAGTCAAAGGAGGCACCTTTACAACACAGAATTATTTTTGGCACCTCTTTTCTCTCTTTTTGCTGACTTGATGGTCAGAGAACAAAAATATATAGAGATGCAGTAGGGTTGTCTTTTCATTGGTGTGTGTATGAAGGCATTTGTGTAAATATCTGAGTTTTCCGGCTTTAATAAAGAAACCCTGCCTAGGAGTTAACTTAGACTGCTAAGAAGGCCAGCAGCGAGCTCTCAGAGGCCGTTCACAGGGGAACCCAGTTTTAGTCCTTACAACTCACTATGTGACTTTGGACAGGTCACCACTTGCCTGGCTCAGCACCTACAGTAGTAAACTAGATTTAGGCTACACCTAAATTTAGGATGAACATAGGGATACCATGTTCGTCTGGCATCAGATTTCAATTTCTTAGAATCTTATGCAAAAGCTTCAATGCCTTCAATATTTTGGTTTGCTCTACTTAGGTTTCTTTTTACTAAACTTTAGAAACTAAGAACAAGTTCCCTTTAGTTACATTTGAATGTTCATTCAAAGGAAGCAGAGAGAATTCAATGCCAGGCCTCGGTGCCTGAGGTCTGGCACTCTGTGTGTACTGCTCTTTGAAAATCTGACTCTAGAACCCAAAGCCCTTACATTTTTTTAATTAAAATGGAGAAATATAAAAATCTTTTTGTTTGGAAAAATTAAAGCATTATGATCTGTGGAAAGCTATTCTGCAGTTAGTATAAATATTTAATAAAAAGTTTAAGTGGAGAGGATGCAAGAGAATACTAATTTTTCTATTATTCTAACTTTTCTAACTATTTAAATATTTAAAATTTGAACCAATATTGAATAGTCAAGTTAGGCAAGATGTATATACTATGCTTAGCCACAGTCAGGCAAGGGCTTTAGGTTTAATGTTGGTTTAAGGCAGACAAGCATTAAAATCTAAGTTTATATACAAAACGGCCTCAATTCTTCTCTCATTATTGTCTACAACTTAATCACATCACCGGACTGTAGGCATATAGTTGACAAAAACCCACAAAATTTATACCAGTGGCCAGGAAGAATGTATCTTAGGGTAATATTTAGGATAGAAAACATGTTCTATAGACAATGGACAGAGTTTAAATTTTTAGCAGTGAAAACATTTTAAGCGTCCCGAAGCAAAGTCAAGTCTATTTATTCATTTCTTCATCCAGTTTCAGCAACAAATGCAGTTGAGTGACATTTTAATTTGACATTTCAATCTAGGCAAGTTTCAGTAAGAGACACAGGTACCCTTTTCCACCCCCATGAACATTTTAAAAATACCATGTAACCATTAAAACAAAGAGGTAACGCACATACATACACATACACACTACAATTGTATGCACAGGCTAAAAAGTTATAGGAAAATACTAAAATCCTCTTATTATTTATGGTAGATTTGGGCAAGATTAAGAATGATTTTTCTTTTTTCACAATTTTTTTTCCATAATGAAATCCTTTGTTGCTGTTGGTGGTGGCAGTTTGAACAGTTTTACTATGCATGTCTGGCTACCCTGAAACTCACTATGCAGACCAGGATGGTCACAAACTCTCAAGAGATCTGCCTGCTTATGCCTCCTGAGTAATAGGATTAAAGGTTTGCAATACCATGCCCCAAGCCTGCTCCTGGCTTGAAGTCATTTATTTCGAATAAAATACTGACATTTAATAAGCAAGTGAAAGAATGCTTTACAAAGGTCTAGATTTTAAGGGGCCCTAAAAATATTTAGGACGGACAGATGGCTTGGCTTTTAAGAGGACTTGGCTGCTCTTCCAGAGGACCTAGGTTTGAGTCCTAGAACCCATTTGGCAGCTCAGAAAGGTCTCAAACAAAAAGCCACTTTTAACATCTTTTAAACACCTCTGAGACAAATATCCTTAGTATGAGTTACATACTTTTCTACTATTAAGTAAAGAAGACATTGTTAGTTAGCACTAAGCTATCACTTCTCATTTTGATGATGGCTTGAAGGGACTCAGAAGCATTTAGTTTACTCATAGGCAAAAGTCAATGAAGCCTATGTAAACAAGCCATTCTGATTAGGCAATTTTCTTCTTTAACAGAATGAGAGGAAATCTTGTGTGAAGTAAAGCTACGACCCAAATCCAAATCATTGAACATGGCTAACTCAATGTCACTTGCTTGTGAGGGTATCATAAAATGAAGAGAAGCAGGCTTCTTTTGAGTGAACTGCTCCTACTGTTTCCTGGAGGCTTGTTTCCTCCTCCCCCACTTTCTCTTGTCACTAGCTATCTTAGAAATTTCACTCATGTGCTCCCAAACACTGATGAGTACAGGGTAGTACAGCTGGCCCGTTGTTCAGACGCTCCTCAGGATCTCAGGCGCAGCCTGTTTCCCGGGGCCCTCAGAAGTGAAACACCTTCTCTTACTAAAGCAAGCTCTGAAATTGCATCTCTATGACCAGATAGTCCACAATCTGGGAAAGGATAAGGGATGATGGCTATTTGTGAATTTCACAATTTAAATGTAAACCAAAATCATTTCCTAGGTTTTTACAAATCTTTATGCTCCCAGAGAAAAACAAATCCCATGTCTCCATAATTTTGGAAGCATTTTCTCATCCCAATTAAGGTTTTTCTACTCCTGGAGATTCTGCTGAATCTAGAAAAGGCTTTAGGAGAGGACAGTAGTGTAGGACTTCTGAAAGAGGTATCTATAACATAGTCACATTCAGAAATGAAGTTGGATTGCTCCATGTAGAGGGTACATGTCTCCACAGACAAATACAGAAATCCATGTCATATATGGAAAATAGTCATGTACTTACTGTTTGAGATTTCTTCTTTTTCTTTTTCATTGACCTGAAAAAGCCTTGCTTCTCCTTTTCTTTGAGCTGGTCAGAATGACTAATATTTTCAGGGCTTTTCCTAAATGAGAAGACATTTTTATCATATAGATCTCTAAATCACATTCTCTTGCCAATGTGTGACAAACATAATAACGGCTGAAAATGTGTGATCCCAGATTCAATCAGCCATGAAAAATGGAGCCCACAGGTAAAGGTCCTTTAAAATGCACAGGAGGAACTGAATCTAATCAGCATGGGGAAAGGCTGTTCTTTGGCACAGGCTTGATCACACTAGCAATTTGAGCGCTATTACAAATGATCTGGAACTGCACCGTGGGACCATTTTCCTGCTGCTGGAAGTCTCTGAATTAGAGAGTCTGTAAAATGCACGGCTTAGAGGGTGCCTTCTCTGTAACCCTCCAAGGGAAAGAACAGAAACATTTCCAATACCTTCAATTTTCTATTTACCTTTCAAAAACAAGCTCAACAAGTTTATTATTAGTAGCTTGCCAAGTTACTAAACATAAAAAAAATCAATGCTGCTATAGAAACATTATAAACAGAAGTAAAATTTGCCCTGAACTGGAAAATTCATATTTATTTATTAAACCTTTAATCTATTACACCTAAATAAAAAAAAAGTACTCAAGGGAAACAATGCAAGCACAATGCAATGCTCTAACACAGTATATCAGAGGTGGGGAGCCCTTCTACCTGAAAATGTTGATGTTAAGATTGATACCACCAATACCACCTAGGTAGTCTAATAAAAATAGAAGATACTCAAAATAGGAAAGAAGGCAGGTGTAGTGGCATATGCCTGTAACCCCAGCACTCAGGAGACTGACACAGAGAGAGGGAGCTGAAGGCCAGCCAGGCTATCTGCCAAGACTGACCCTGGAACAAAAACTCACTTTGCAAAAAAAAAAAAAATCCCAAAAGGGGAGAAAAAAGAAAAAGGAGAAAAAGAGGGGCAGTGGCTTGTGTGTGTGGGGTGCAGAGAACATCCTGACTTTTGGCTTATGCTCTTTAAAAAGCACCTCGACAGGTATTACTCTTTTACAAAATCTTGCATATTTACATATTCCCTAAAAGAGTGGGAGAATTCTTAAAAGTGACAGTTAATTTATATTCATGGTTTCAGAATACCTAACAGTGATGAAGTGATTCTAATGTTTAAGAGAATATGAGCAAAGCAGCATCCAGCTTATTTTATTAAAATATGTAAGCCAGAAAACTTCTAAATTAACCATTACTGGTTGCATGGCAGAAAGCACAATGAAGCTATTAAAAATAAATCACATCTTCAAAGAATATTCACTGACATGAAAGAATATTTAAACTACAACATTAAGCAAAAATATAATGATTTCAAGCTTTCTACATGTGATAACTCCAACTACATTACAATATAGGCTATGCACACGCACTTTCAATATTATTTATTTAATTTTTAAAGATGTATTTATTTTACGTGCTTGAGTGTTTATTCTGTGTGTATGTATGTGTATTATTTCTGTGCCTGGAGCCCACGGAGGTGAGAAGAGGGTATAAGGTTCCCTGGAACTGGGGTTGTGGATGGTTGTGAGACACCATTTGAACTAAGCCTGGATCCTTTACAGGAACAATGATAACTCCTGAGCCATCCCTCCAATCCCTAAATGCACTTTTGAAAAAGCAGGGAGAAATTACGATAGCAATCTTGGCTGGAGCTGTGGCTCAGTGGAAGAGCACATATACTCCATTCACAAGGCCCTGGGTTCCATTGCAAGCGCTGGGGAACAAAAATAGGCTCGGCCTCATGGCATACGCTTGTATTCCTAATTATGACTAAGGTGGAAGTCATAATTACTTTAGCGCATGTGCTTGAGAACAGTGGGTAACAAAGCGAGGTTCCCCCTTCTCAAAAAAGACCCCCCCAACCTGTAAAAAGCTCTATCTATGTAATAAAATTATTGAAAGTCCTTTTAATTTCTGAGAACAAATACATATGTCAGCAACAAAGATGACAGACTATTTTAGGGTTGGGAATATAGCTCAATTGGTGCTGACATTGTTCAAAGCCCTGTGTTTGACCCCAGAATCACAAAAACCAGACATGATGGCACACACCTGGAGTCCAGGCACCCAGCAGCACCCCAGGTGTTCTCGAAATCCACTAGAACTTGCGACTATAAGCGCCACTTAATAAATTCCAAGTTCTGAAGCACAAGTTCTGTGATTTAATCCAGCAAGACTCTAACTACTTTGGGAACGCAGAACAGGGCATTTATCATTTTGAAAGGCAGGAGGTTTAGATGTGGTTGCATGGGTGTGGATGGGATGGTGGAAAGTTACAGGTTCTATAGATGCAGTTGCAGGATGCCTGGGGAAAATACTCTCCTCATGAATGCAATCTCAGGAGGGCAAACTGGCATTAGAGCAGAATTTTAGTGCTAACAGGAAAGAAGGCTGCAGATGCTACTCTTAGGAGGAAGCAGAATTCTGCCTGGGGAGACAAAAGTCTAGCCAGGAGGAAGCAGAGAACAATATGCAAGTGAGAGGCTGGAGAAGTTGAGGATGAGAAGAGGAAGGGGGCAGGAAAACAGTTCAGAATTTGCACTCTGGCACCAGAGTTGGTTCTGGGAAACAGAATGGAAGACCCTCCCCAGGGTCTTTAAGGCACTGGATAAACTACGGTCTGGGCGGGGCAGGAGGAATGGTGAGTTAATTATTTCAAGCTGAAGCAGAGCAGGTGGTAGGGCTGAAATCTAGGCAGGGAAAGCTTCGAGGGGGTCAAAAGAAAAAGGGAAATATCAGAGGTGCACCCATCCACCGAGACAGTGGGGCTGATCTATTGGGAGCTCACCAAGGCCAGCTGGACTGTGACTGAAAAAGCATGGGATAAAACCGGACTCTCTGAATATGGCGGACAATGAGGGCTGATGAGAAGCCAAGGACAATGGCATGGGGTTTTGATCCTACTTCATGTTCTGGCTTTGTGGGAGCCTAGCCAGTTTGGATGCTCACCTTCCTAGACCAGGATGGAGGGGGAGGTCCTTGGACTTCCCACAGGGCAGGGAACCCTGACTGATCTTTGGACTGGAGAGGAAGGGGGAGAGGAGTGGGGGGAGGGGGAGAGGGGTGGGAGGAGGGGGAGGGAAATGGGAGGCTGGGAGGAGGCAGGAATTTTTTTTTCAATAAAAAAAAGAAAAGGAAAAAAAAAGAAAAAGGGAAATAAATCACCCAAGACAAAAGCTAGGATTGAGCTGGGCGGTGGCAGCACACGCCTTTAATCCCAGCACTCGGGAGGTAGAGGCAGAAGGATCTCTGTGAGTTCGAGGCCAACATGCTCTACAAGAGCTAGTTCCAGGACAGGCTCCAAAGCTACAGAGAAACCCTGTCTTGAAAAACAAAACAAAACAAAAAAGGTAGGATTGGAGCCTGAGTATGTTTGCATCACAACAGACAGAAGAAACTGAGCCTGAGCAAAGAAGGGGAGACACAAAGAAAACACAATGCAGAACGACACAGAAACATACACAAAACACCCTGAGAGAGGAAGAGCATGAGAGAGCAGCTATGGAAAACAGGCACGTGGGAAGCTGTGTGTGCACAAAGGAAGGAGCCTTGAGCAAGCAGCACTGTGCCAACTATCTGGATTTGTGGCCCCTATAACTTCACCCAGTACAGTGGGCAGCTTTGGGGGTCATATGAATTTCAGAGAGGGAAGCTTCGAGAAGAATTAGAGATTCAGTGACTGAGCTCATCCCTTGGGTAGCAGCTCTGGTCAAAATAGTACGGCTATGGGGTTTAGGAAGGACACACACCAAAGGATGACCAGGTAGGGGCTTACACAAAACTGTGACTCGTATGTCATCGAGACTAAGAACTAGTCTCATTAAGGGAGTCAAGATGAAAGAGAGCTGTTCAAAGAATCATTGTAATCAAGGAATGAAGGAATTGAAACCAAAACTGATGTAGAGTTCATCACCTTTTACTGAGCACTGTATTAGGTAATAGAGACAGATCAATCAAGGAGCTGACCTCTCACTCAAACTGCTCCCAGACTCAGGGTGCAGAGCGGAGGGGATGAGACAGTAGGGTCTTTGGACTTTAGTATAATCCCTCTGGAGCTGCATGGAGAGTGAGTGGAAGTGGGGAGGCATTGTTCTTGTGTGACACAAGAAAGTCAGTGAAAGAGTCTATGAGAAAAACTATAACACAAGCTATAAAGGACAAAAGATAGCTGTAACCCTGTCAAACAAAGCCCGTCATTCAAGTGAGCTTCACAGTTCTTCACTAGTAGGACTTCGAATGAACTTAGTTAAAGTACCAATTTTTAGCCCCATTTTGATGGCAGTTTTTCTAACCGGTTCACATACTTATTATTTATTTATAGTAAAGTCAATGACATTCATTTTATAAGCATGTACTCTAAATGGATACCTAAGATGTACAGCATTTCTGCAGGTCTGTGAAATGATAAAACGCACCCACTTTTGCCCCGTAGCTATGGCTTGTGATCCCTCTCCCTTTTGCACGCTGTGTTGTTAGCTAGAACCACATCTCATCCTAACGACCTCGGCACTAGCGGCTAAAACTGGGCAGAAGGAGGAATAAATAGTTTCCAAGTGAGGACTGAAGTGGCATCCTATTAGTAAAGATGATGCATCTGGCGGTGTTAAGTCTATTTTTCTTGTTCTGAGATATTTTGGCTTATCTCCCATTTCTTAAGTGGGTTCAAGACAACTGAGATGACCAGAATAACAGCTCTGGGTGTTAAAGTACAATATCTATTTATTGCTTTTAAGTATGACATAGTACCTTGATCTTTCCATCGCAGAACATATGTACACTGTACAAATATTCTCTTCCCAGAAGAAATTTAAAGCAGTACTATCATGGAAACAGACTGGCCTGAGGTTATGTGATAATTTAAGAACAGAAGTTTACCATGTTTCTCTGTGATAATTTAAGAACGGAATTTTACCATGTTTTTCTAATAAGACTTTCATGTTTGTGTTATCAACGGCATAGTTCTCTAAGATATAAAGAATATGGCAAACCAAAGAGATCTTGGTTAAGAAAAAATTAAGATGAGTCAAGCTTAATTAAAGATTTGATCATGGTAGATGTGATGCATGAAGGAGACAAGCCATAGAAACATTATCAGGAGGAGTACAGAGCCACTTCATAGCTGGGAGTTCTGGAACTTTACTGAACCATAGAATAGTAATATTAGAGTAAGGATGACTTGATGACATCTTGGCTAAAGATGAGCATCCCAACTGTACTTCTGATTCTTTTCAAAAACAATTCCATATATATATATATACACACACACACACATATATATACACACATATATATGTGGTGTAGGAGGTCCTTCTGTTTATGTGTTGCTTTCATTGGTTGAATAAAGAAACTGCCTTAGCCTAGTTGATAGAACAGAACTTAGGTAGGCAGAGTAGACAGAGCTGAATGCTGAGAAGAAGGGCAGAGTGGTAGATCCCATGGTTCTCTTGCCTGAGACGGACACTGGTTAGAATCTTGCTGGTAAGCCACAGTCACATGGTGATACACATTAATGGAGATGGGTTACTAATATGTAAGAGTTAGCCAATAAGAAGTTAGAGCTAATGGGTCAGGCAGTGTTTAAATGAATACAGTTTCTTTGTGATTATTTCGGGTGTAAGCTAGTCGGGCGGCCAGGACAAACAAAGGAACCCCTCCTCATGCAACATATATGCACACACACACACACACATATACACAGCTAAAGTTCTATTCAGACATGGTTATCATACACTAGGCCCTGCATTCAAGTCCCCACAACCAAACCAAATCAAACTCCTAAAACATACACACACAGAACCAAGAAACACCGCATTGCTAACAAGTCCTACCCTACTTTTGGATCACGTTTTTTGGAGAGGGAGGGCATTGAGATAGAATCTCACTACATAGCTCAGGCTAGCTTTAAACTGTCAATCCTCCTGTCTCAGCTTCCCAGGCTGAGAAGGCCAATACCACCAAGCCACATCAGCCCTGACTAGACTAATTTTTAAAGGATTATGCTAGTCTCTAACTGATACCGTTTTCGATTGCTACCACTTTATTATGCAACAACCAAGAAAAACCAGCTCCCTCTGTGCATCTGCATTCTGACACTTTAGATACCATTCTCAGCGCTTGTCCAAGTCACACCTTAAAACTAACAAAAGCTATACCTGTTTGCTTATGTTTTCTACACACTAGGGAGCAAAACCCACACACAAAGAGGCATGGACGTTTATGAGTAAAGTTAGAAGCCAAACAGCCAACAAACCATGGAAAGATTAAATGACATTAAGTCTAATAACCATAACTACTAACATAATGATCCCTTACAGTGTCAGGCACTGTTTTAGGTGCCTTTTTTATACACATGAATTTTTATATCACTTAATTATTATCATCATTCTATGCAGGAAGTGCTAGTACCCTGTGTCCCTGATCCAGGTTACAGTCGTTTAGCACCAAGTATGTTCTGTAACTTTCAAGCTTCAGTGTGTATGGAGTTGGAACAGCCCCTACCTCAGAAAGGGCAACTATGACAACTGAGACAATGCACACAGAGAGCTAGCTATGTAAACTGACAGTACCAAGTTCTCTGTCAATAAAAGAATGAGCATGATCAAAGACCTATCTGATAATTACGGCTTTTCTTTTACATGCTATTTAACAGAAATTTTGAACTTGAAAAAAATTACAACCCTCCCAACAGATCATGTTTTCCTTATTCTTAACAAAGGGAAACCTAGTGGGAAGAAGAACATGAAAAAGTTTATCCTGCATGTCTTTGAATTCCCAAATCTACAATTAGTACAAAGAAGAGCAAGAACAAACCAAAACACTCACCATGGATCAAATCCTGGCTGTCTTTTTGAATGATTGGTACCAGAACTGCTGTCAGATGGCAAAGAAGAAACCCGGGTGGACACATTATTTTCATGGAAAGAATTGTCTGGTCGTGGAGAGGGCACTGAAAAAAGAAGAAAAAAAAAGTTACTGAAGTGCTTTTCTGCTCGCAGTAGTTCTAATACTATTCCACAGCATTTTCTTTCACACAAACAAAGTCAAAGTCCCCAACTGCCTTTCCAGAACTTGTTTCCTGAGGGTGGCGGTGGTCCAGACACATTTCCCTCCTCAACTCCTTACATGGTAACCTGCAGGGCTCAGTTACAAGGATTTCCAAACAGAAACCTGGGCTGTCAACTGATGTACTGCAGAACATTTGAGGACATTTAAAGAAATGGGACATTATTTAAAGTATGGTTATTGTAACCACCCCACACCATGGTTTTTGACATTCTTTGAAGTTGAATCTTTCTTATAACAGATCCAACTAGGAGAAATCTATTCTTTTTTTTTAATTCTGTAAGACAGAGTTTGTTTGTCTAGCCCTGTCTGTCCTGGAACTCACTCTGTAGACCAGACTGTTCTCAAACTCACAGAGATCCACCTGTTTCTGTCTCCTGAGTGTGGGATTAAGGAAATGCATGTGCCACCATTGCCCAGCCTGCAAAATCTATTCTTAACCCAATATCATCCTTAACAATATGTGTACTGGGACACACAAATTACAGTTTAAGCCATGACAATGCAATGGTGTGCTGCTTAGATCTTTAATTATAAGGAAATTTGGCTATTTGCACAAAACTACTAATTTTCTATACATTTTCATGTAAAAATGAACAGAAATATAAACTATAATATATTGAGTAGTTTTTGCTTTGGGGAGAGCAGTAACCATGTTTTTGTAAATTTCTAAAGTTGGCTGTTCTGTAAATTTCACCACAAAATTAATATATGCACATGGGATATCAAGACCAGTGACACCAAGTAAGGAGTGCTGTATGTAATTACAGTACTCGAGGCTGAGGCAGGAGGACTGACATGAGTTCAAGGCCAGACTAGGTTACACTGAGTGCTAGGCCATCTTGATTGGGTTACAATATGGGATGTTGTCTCAAAACAACAACAATATATATGTGTATTTATATGGTGAATTACATACATGTATTATAGTTTTTTAGGTAAATAGTATGATTTCTTATTGCTTTTTCAGACATTATTACTGTTATTTTCCTCACCTTCTTCTATATTTATCTCAACTCTCTCTCCTTAAAGAGGCTCCCTTTTCCATTTCCCTGATCAAGATCACTTATATCCTGTCATTCCCTTCTCTACTGCTCCCCAATCCCCTATCTTGACAATGATTCCATTTTAATTTCCTGATTGCTGACTAGAGTGCAGAGATCTGTGAGCTGGAGCTGACCTAAATGTCCCCTCCCTGATGACTAGCTTTCACGGTACCAGAAGGTGTCATCCAAGTTTCCAAAGGCGGGAAACACTAACAGCCCTACTGTAGTGGTTTGAATAAGAATGGCTCGTAGATTTGAATGCTTGGTCTCCAGGAAGTGGCAATATTAGGAGGTGAGGCCTTCGAGTTAGGTATGGCTTTGTTGGAGGAAGTATGTCACTGGGTAATGGACTTTGAAGTTTTTAGATGCTCAAGCCAGGCCCATTTTTCTCTATTCCTGCTGCCTACAGATCTGAATGTAGAACTCTCATGCTACCATGCTTCACACCATGATGACAATGGACTAAACCTCTGAACTGTAAACAAGCTCCAATTAAATGTTTTCCTTTATGAGAGTTGCTGTGGTCATGGTGTCTTTTCACAGTAATAAAATCCTACGACAGTTACCTAGCTATAATGCCTATGAACCACATCAACAACCAGCATGGCACAATAACCCCAAGGATGCATAGTGGTATGGATATCTTGCTAGTAACCAACAGCTCTCTAGTTACACTGAAGAATGGCTCAACAAGAGGGAAACCATACCTGGCACTAAAATTCCTAGCTAACTACTCAGTGCTAGTGAAGTCATGGTTATTGGAGATTATTTACTAAATCATTTCAACCCCTAACAACAATCTATAAACATTTGTTTTTATAACCACAGATCAGTGCAGTCTTTACATTTTATTACCTCTGGATAAGAAAGAATGAACCCCTTATCAAAGAAACTTCTCTTTGCAATAGATGGAGACCACTAAGAAAACCAGAACCAAAAATCAAAATACAGAGTTGTGAAGTGTGATCTTAATGGCTATATCTATAATATACTCCTGAACCCGATGCTTTGGAAATACTTTGGAAGAGAGAGTGAGATTTTAAAAGGCAGAGAATTAGGAAATTTGCTGTGAGATTGTAGTTCCTAGGGACATATGAAGCTATACCCCTAAAGGCTCACCAATGTGCCCAAACATGAGTTGAGCAATGACAACATCAAAGGACATAACAAAGTGGACAAGAAAAAGCCCAGGAGGCCTCAACCTTACACAAAGAACTATAGGCAACTGAGAAAAGCTAGGAGCAAGAGAGGTGCCAAAAGGTCAGTTGTATGAAAACATATGTACAAGCAACATTATACAGACTGAGCAGGTTTCATTTATGAATATATGTGTATATATACATACATATATGCAGACAAAATTAGTGGAAAAGAGATCATAAATTTGAATGAGAACAAGGTGGAGCATATGGGAGGGATTGGAAGGAGGAAAGAGAAGGGAGAAATGTAATTATAATCTCAAAAATTAAAATTAAAACAACAAAAAGTGATACCATTTTATTACCTCTGGATAAGAAAGAATGAACATATTCTAGAAACATCTGTCTAGATAGATCTGGAAATATCTGTCATTTTTGAACTACTATTTTTCTCTAGGACTTCCCAGTATCATTGAAATAACAGGTGTTTCCAGGTGTTTCATTTAGTTGAAACTTTCCCTTCTATTTCTGAACTTCTACAAATTAAAATGTTCTATTTGCTAAATCTCCAAGTAGATTACAAGAGAAATAAAGAAGGTGTTTTCCCCATATTAACCAATTCAATCCCTTTGTAACCAAAATAGTATTTTCCAGAAGTAAAAGACTAATTCATTGATTTAAAACTCTATTTCCATTTTATTTTAAAGTATTTCCTCTACTAGGCATGATAGCACACACCTATAATTCTAGCACTTGAAACATAGAGAGAGAAGTCAGCTGGAGGCCAACCTGGTCTACATTGTTAGACCCTCTCCCACAAAGAAGGCTATTTTCTCTAATCATCTGTAGAAACAAGAAAGTATGGGACATTTTATAAGAAAAAAATTTACACTGAAGACATTCTTACTCAGGTACAAGACAAAAATTTTTTAATTAACTTTAATCTGAATTAAAAGTTTAGCCTTATAAGATTATAAAGTCGTCATGGAATGGGGCAGTCACTAAGAAGCATATTTGATGCCTTGTGCTTTTCCAAAGGTAGAGATGGGAGGGACCATAGTAGCCCAATCATTCAATACACATGTATTCCTGAGTAACACTTCTGTGTATTCATTCAGCTCAGATTACTAATTTTAACAACCAAACAACTGTCTGTGTCCCCTGATCCTAATTTCTGAACTTCCCCAGCTCTTTATATAAAACAACAGAAGGAGCAGGAAGTCAGGGAATGTAGACTTAAAAGTCAAGGCTGTGGTGAATCTTGCAGGCTTTGAACAGCTAAGCCTCCTGTCCATTTCTCCACCAAGGCACCGGGATTCTCGAGTATTTAGTACATTATCATCACATGGTTACACCCCAAAGGGGTTGCCTTTTTCTATTAACTGTCTCCTAAATACACAGCACCTCGAAAACATCTGTCTTAGCCATCTGTTCAACAACAAAGTATAGTTTTAAAGCTATGTAAATATTCTTGAATTCTGTTCTTTAAATCAATTAATAAATATTTATGAAACTGTGTGAGGCAGTCCATGCCTCCGGCTTTCCTTTCCTGCTCCCCTCCATCTGGGGATCAAACCCAGGGCTTCACACACACTAGGCAAGCACTCAATCACTGATTCCCAACCCCATCTTGAGAGTCCAGAATATTCGAGAGGTTCAAAATCTTGCAGAGAAACACAGAAAACAAGTACGATGTGGTTTGCATTGTATCACAGACATAGACAAGGGGCCATGGTTGAACAGAGAAGAAATACTTCTGGAAGCCTGTCACAGTGGAAGGGATCATAAAGAAACTAGAAGGAACAACTGGCTCCAGTAAGACAGTAGTGTGTTTCAGGGCATGAGAAATCCAGGTATGAGTGGGAACTTGTGTGTGGAGGTAGATGGGTGGCAGCTAGAGTGGACAACAAGGATGTGATCATAAACTACCTGGAATGTCATCTCAGGGAATTCAGATTTTACTTTGCTATCAATAGAAGCTAAGGTATTGATTGGGACAGTGAGGGCAATGGGTGCCTGATCTATTTCTTTCTCCTGTACTGCCATTATCTGACTGCTCTATAGAATTATTACACTTACTGGTGATTTCTTTTATAAAAGTGAGAATGAGGGTAGATATTTTTTCTCTGTTTTATCTACTAACATGTTCTAGGCATGTTCAAATTTCTGGCATTACAGTATCACATTGTCGTCTATAAAATTTACACTCTCGAAATGCACCATCAAGTTATTTTTAAAGATCTCAAACTGGGTATATGTTGGCATACACCTTTACACGCAACATTCAGGAGGCAGAGACAAGCGCATCTCTTTGAGTGTAAAGCCAGTCTGGTCTACATATATAGTTCTAGGCTAATCCAGGTCTACAAAGTAGTAGCCTGAGATTGATCCCAGGACCTACATGGTGAAAAAAAAAAAACCCTGAGTTCTACAAGGTGTCCTCTGACCTCTGACCTCCACAGTTATACCATGGCCTAAGTGCCCCCAGTCATAAAATAAATACATGTAATTTTAAAAATTCTCATGTTTTGTGTAAGTTTAGACCTTTAGTGCTGAGCTGTATTCATCACTATCATTTACATATAGCCACACTATGCAGATGGGTGGCCAAATTGTGCTGGGCACAAAGGGACATGGGTAAATGTCACATGAATGAATTGGTCTGGCCAATATCTTCTCAGAAGGATCATTCTGAGAACTGTTTGGATGGCTGCATGGAGACAGAGACTAGTCAGGGGCTAAGACAGAAGAGACAAGGGACTGGATGAAGATGGTAAGACCAGTAACAAAGAGATCTGGTTAGATGGTGGCAACACAGGCAAGACTGCTGTTGGTCTGGCTGGGTGGTGGTGGCTCACACCTTTAGCCTTTAATCCCCAGCACTGGGGAGGCAGAGGTAGGTGGATCTCTATGAGTTCAAGGCCAACCTGGAAGTAAGTTCCAGTACAGCCAGGGCTGACACAGAGAAACAAACAAACAAACAAACAAAACAAAACAAGAATACTATTGATCTGAAGTCCACTGGGGCAATGAAAATACAGTGGTGGACAAGGAAAGGGGTGTATTCAGCAGAAAATAGAGGAAGATTCTAGTAAATTTGGTGGGGGGTGGCTTACCTCTATAGAAGCTACCAACTCTCCTTGGGACAGGATCATTGTACAGATGCCGATTTTCTTTGGGAGCCGCGCCATCATCAGAGTGGGGGTCATGGTATACTCCACCCTGAGGGAGGAAACAAGGTTATAAAAGTTAAACCATGGCTTGATGATGGTGCTGCTTGGAACAGTCTAACCAGTGTCTAATATTTTTTTATGATCATTTTAAAGGAATACTTGGGCTTGTGGCATGGGGAAGTCAGTTCAACTTATTTATGGGAAATTGGGTACAGATAAAGTTTCAAAGCTAGGCTGTCATGCTGCTGAGCGAATGGCCCTTCTAAAACATTCTACGATGTAGCAACTCTAGAGCTCAGACCTCAGACTTCTGACGGGCGTGGAATGAAGTGGTGCCTTCTCTGGAGGACTCTTTAACAGAAGGTCTCGTCACAGTCATCTCTGGAGGGAGCTGTTCTCCAGGCTGCAAGGCAAATAGAAGGAGATTTCTAGAAACTTCCTACTCCTAGGGATGAAAACTCATCATGGTCATCATTTAATATAGTGAAGACCTTAACCAGCTAAAATAAAGATCATGGGGTGGCTTCAACATAACTCATCCCATAAAATAGTAAAGTACCTGATGAATGTAAAATAAGGCCAACAGATAGAAAGGGAGATTCTCATTAAAGTTAAGGCAAGTAAGGAATCCATTAGTCTGAAAATAGCTCAATTAATTATTTAAAACAACAAGAGAAATCACCTTTCTATCTAGACAGTTACAGCTCTAAGCAGCATTATGCTTAGAGATTCTATCAGTCAGTCTAAAATTGCTTTTATAGATTTTAGACAGAGTTCTCCAAAAGGGAAGATGCAGAGGCAAATCTATTTTCCTAGGATACTAACACAGTAGATGCAGACGAAAGGAAATACTTTGTGAATGCAAAAAAGAAAAAGAATAATCCCCCGTAATGATTTTTATCTTAAGAGTCCCTAATTCCCACAGTCTACGGTGCTTCCTGCTCCTTCGTCGTCTCCAGGACATCAGCTCACCTGTTCAATGCATTTCTTAGGAAGGATCATGATGATGCCTATCTCTAGAGATGCTCCCACTAGCTACAGCCCTCTCAAGTAGGTGAGTCACAACCCCAGCACAGCAGCAGGTCCTTAACAGTGTCCCAGGGGAAAGAAAATACAGCACATTTTCCACCCTGGGGTGGGAGGATTAAGGGACACAATTAGAAGGCGTTAGATGCATTTGGCATCTATATATTACGCACAAAAAGGATCAAGTCTAGATGATGTACATAAAAATATTTTAAGTTAAAAACTGAAATAAGATTGGTATTTCTCCCCCTTCCTTCCCACCACCATATTTAGAGAATTCTGGAAAGAAATTCATTTGGTACAGCAGCCTTTCTTCTTTCTACTTTGCCACCCGTACTGTTGACAAAGGCCCAGAGAAATATTTTTTTTTAAGGGAATGAGTTATTTACTTTTAAACTAAACTCAGTGAGGGTCCTCTTGCTTTTGAAAGTGGCTATAATACTTTACATGAGAATGAGTGCCATGATTTACTCAGCACCCTTGTTACCTTTCAAGCCTTCTGGCCACCTTCTAGCCTTTAATTGTGGCCTTTCTTAAGGCTTGGCATAGCACCTCCTGAACGGGACTTAAGTAACAGCTGGAGATGTGCAAAGTCGCAGCAATTGCTTATAATTAGCTTATGACCACTATGTTCACAGAAATTCTTTTCGCTGAACTCTCAGCGAGCCAGTCATTTGTTCATTTTTCCAAGGGAGACCGCCTTTTGTTTTTCTCTTCTGTTTGACACTTGCCTTGAAGCCAAAACAATTAGCTTGCTTTTGACCTCCAGCTCCATTCTATGGGCAGTGGCCAGGTCCTAGAGATCTTTCTCAACACTCCAGGTACTCTTATCTCTACAGTGAGCTCTCAAGGCCTCTTTGTCCATTCCTTTAACTCCATTTAAAGCCTCTGCAAATATTTACCTCCTGCCCACCCCTAACCGGGCACCAGGCCAACCTGCCAACATTTTATACTTGGGGACCTGGAGACGGCCTCAGAATCCCAGCTCTACTTTGAGTTAGGGAAAGTTGGGCAGCTCATCCACCTACTGTGAGCCTCATCTGAGAGGAAAAATGGTGGCTTAAGGAGCTTATAAATCCCGGTTCCAACTCTGAACTGGAGCTCCTAGGAAAGAAACCCTGAAGGCTTCCTTCAGCACTGCGGTGGACAAGTCCTGTTGTGTCCACTTCTGCACAGCCCTTGAGATCCACTCTGCATTCATACTGGCACCCAAGCCTGAATGCTCTCTCCACCTCATGTGAGAATTGTTCAACTCTTACATGTTCATTCCGACATGGTGAAGCCAGTTGGGATCCATGCAGCACCAAGTCTTCTTGGAATATTTTCCCTTTTGTCAATCCTCTTTCTTGTTATTATCGCTTTCTTCCCTAAACGGAAACCTCAACCTCCCTAGAAGTATCTGCTCAGAATTCTCCCTCCCCCTGGGAGCCTCCAACAGGGCCCAGACTGGATGGACAGAATTGCTTCCATCTTTCTTTTGCTACACGAGCACACTTCTGCATGGCTACTGTAATGACATTTTACAGTGTTAGAACAAATCATCTGTTGCCAAATGTCCCCTGTCATTTAATATACTTCAAAATGACAGGGGCACTTTAATCTCATCTTTCCAATCAGGGCTTCCTGTGGTGCTCAGCTCAGCTTCACTCCTCAGCCCGTTGACTGTCTACACAGGGCAGGTTGTTAGCTGCACTGAAGCCATTTCTGACTGTTCCTGCTCAGTGATTTCTCCCTGTTTCAATGCCTATTCATAGCCCGTGCTCTATTAATGTAGGCCTTTGTGATTTCATAATTTAGCAGGTCAAATGCTTGTCATGCAAACCCAATGACCTGAGTTAGAGACCTAGAACCCTCATAAAAATGGTCGGAGAGAAGCAACTGCACAAAGTTATCCTGTGGCTTTCACAGGCATGTCATACATACATTCCTTGCCCTATGTCATATACATATACACAATAATGGAAAAATACATAATTAAAAAAACAAGGAGCCAGAGAGATGGCTCAGCAATTAAGAGCATGAACTGCCCTTACAGAGGAACTGAGTTTGGATCCTAGGACCCATGACAAGCAGCTCACAACTTCCTCTAACTCCAGGTCCAAAGGTGTGTGACACCCCTGGCCTCTATAGACACCTGCAATTATGTGCACATACCCAGACACAGATAGACACACATACATAATTTAAAAACTCTTTTAAAAATCCAAAAGCCTGGGGAATTATCATTTACCCTAGCCTGAAGTTTAATTTATCTAGCTTAAGATAAATTTAAAATTCAGTTAAGATACTTGGTATTAGTAAAAATGTTTAAACAAATGTGGTTTAGAAAGATTAGAGAAAAATCCGCCCCCCCCCCCAAAGTTGAACTAACTAAAAGCCAATCCATATTTCTGATTTCGATAAAAATGATCTGTCAGCAAAACAGGTCAGAAAGGAACATTAAAAAAACAGATTACTAAAACCAAACTTGAGATGTCTTGAGCACTCAACAACTGATTTAAACATTTAAATAATAACTATTATTTTTGAGACAGGGTTTCACTGTATAGCTCTGGCTGGCTTGGGACTCACTATGTAGACCAGGCTAGCCTCAAACTCACAAAGATCCACTTGCCTATGTCTCCAAGTTCCCCAGTGCTGGAATGTGCCGTTGTGTGTGCCACTACACACACTAAATTATTTTTTTTTAATAGAATGATCCAAAAATTGCTTTCATTCACTGTCCCAATGAAAGCAGGGCTGACTGTAGTAGGAAAAACTGTATAACAACCTTATAAATATTCCTTGTAACACTTTCCCAAGATAAGCCACCAGAGAGATGAAAGAGGTACCTGGGGTGATAAGAGCTGCAAGCTGTTCGCTCTCGCCGCCATGCCTTGCCCTATGCTCAGGCTTCCTTCAAGGCCTTTAGCTCGAACTTTGTCCCGGGTCACGTACATGGAGTGCCTGTGGGGGCGCTGCTGAGAGGAGAAGGGGCTGGTGTAGCCTAGCCCGTAAGAAAATGACTCATGAGGCGCAGACAGCGAGTGCGAATGGCTGCTGTCCATGTGTTCAGGCAGCTTCAACTCTTCCATGGTTTTTGAGTGTCTGGTAGTAGTTCGGCGTGAGTCCAGAGTGCCCTCGTTTCGGTTATTTCTCGCGGAAGGGCTGAGCAAAGTTCTCGTGTCACTGTGCCTGGTGGGGGTTGGGCTGGTGGGAGAGTTCAAGTCCAAGCAACTGGATGGGAAGTATCTACTGGTATTAGTCTCAGTGATTTGGGCTCTGGCTTCTGAAAGGTTGCTCACAGACTTGGAGTCACTCAACGCCCCATGGCTTTTGGCCTTCGTTCTGTAAGATGGACTCCTGGAGGACTGGGGAATGGTGTCGATATAGCTGTGCCGACTTTGCTTCTCACTAGGCTGCAGCGTCCCTGCTTTGCTCTGGGAGCTTTCCATGAACGAGTGCCTGTTCTGTTGAGATCTGCTGGTGGACTTGAGGTACTTAGTGCCTGGACCTTCTGAAGGCTTTGGGTCGATACTGAAGTCAAACTCTGTTTTGGACTTGGCTTCTTTTGGGCTGAGAAGGTGTGGTATGTTGTTGTTTGTGAGATCTTTGCTGGAAGATCCAGGCTGGGTGCTTGCTTGGTAGGTCTTGGTATGCATTGGGCTGAGAGTAGCTCCAGCAAGGTTTCCATTCAGGAAGCTTTCATTTGCGGGAAGGCCTTCATCAGCCCGGGGCAGACCCACACCCAGGTTCTGAATGTCTTTGCTGTTGGATCTGTGGTGAGTCTGTAAAGCGGCACCCTTGCTGGATTGGTTTCTATGTTCAAAACAAAAGAGGGAGATCATTTTCCTTCAGTGCGGGCAGACAGAGCATAATGTTGAGAGCAAATAAGCAAGCGAACAGTAAATCAGAAGAGAACGTTCTAAAAATGTCCAAAGGCTCAGGATCGTTGTGAAGGAAGGAAAGAAGTTAAGGGCTAGAGGATGGGAAGGAGAGCTGCTTTCTGGATCTGACGTGGCTGTCGCCCTGTAATCTTCACCCAGAGAGGGTGAAGAGAGATGGGAGTCACAGTCTTTGGTGGTGGAGCCGCTGGTGTATTGCTCCCACTCCAGCTAACAACCCCTTACCATGTTCATGAAGGCAGCCCCAATTAAATGCAGTAGGCGGGGCACATACACCTGACTCTCTGGCATGAAAGTCAGACAGGGACTTGGGAGGAGGAGATTTGTTGGAAGAAGTAAGAGGATGACATGGTAATAGGAACATTTTGATCAAAAAAGACTGTGTGTGTGTGAGAGAGATTGTACGAGAAGAATTTTTCTAAAGAGGCAAAAAATGACTACAATCGCTAACCCTCTCAAATATGTCTCTATCAATAACAAGGAAGTTTCTCATACTAAGTCACTCAACAATAAAGCACTTCCTATGACGGTGTTTTGGCATCCTTAAATGTTTGTCTAACTTGCTGGCTGCCAACACACTCACCGAGAAAGAGTCAGCTAAAATGTGCTTTGGCTATGACTGTCTGGTACAGTACAGTTAGTAAGAACACGACAGCGAGCAGACATCTGAAAAGTCTTTCATTCGCTCCAAGGGCAGAAGGCAACACTCAGACTTGAAGGTTACCATGTTCCTTGAGCTTCATTTTGTTTGTAAAACCTGTAGGCTGTGTCAGATGCACACTCACAGTCCCTACACACACACACACACACACACGCACGCACACACACACACACACACACGCACACACGCACATATACTAGCATCTCATCTTCAGCCTGTAGAGTCCGTGGATGGGAATTCTAATGATTTAGAAGAAAAGATGACACTCTGAAAGAAATGTGAAATGACTAGTGAGGTTTGTTGGAAAACACGATGATCTGTGTTTATGTTTTAGAGAAGTGGCAGTTACTTGGGGCTCTTGAGATGACTCCTTGTACTTTTCACAGAAATGCATCAGGAACTGTTTAGATATCTCTGTGTAAACTAAACACGGATCCTATACTGGAACATAGGGTCTTAAGTGCTAATTGCTTGGTAAAAGACACAATTTAGTCTCTTCTTCATTTCACACTTCATTATTCCAAAGTGACTGAGCCCTTCTTTAGGACTCGAAACTTCATTTCCTACCTAGTGTAATATATACGAATAGTCACCCAGAGAGAACCCTTGTTCTCTGTTTGAAAGCCGAGATTGACATTCCACAAGGCAGGCTTGTTCTATTATAGCTAATCAAAGGATGAGCTTGTGGGCTTGAGACAGGTTCCAAAGTTAGGAATGCTTTACACAATTCCAATAATTTTTACTGTGAATTCAGAAAACGTTACAAGTGTTGCTACTGGTGAAGATGGACTGATTTGGAAGAATTTTTTTTTTTCCTATCAGACACTAATTGGAAGAAAGGTTCTTTTGGGCTGTTGCTATTTAATAGGAATAGCAACCCACAAAACTATGTCTTCTTATTTCCCCCGATTTAGAAAGGAATTACAAAGGAGAGTTAAGTTTTATTTTCTGTTAAATGATGTACAGAACCTATCTTCAGATCAATAAAGTGCAGTGTCATAAAAGATGTCCACAATACTGATTACAGGCAGGGTCAAGGAATTTCTCTCTCTCTCTCTCTCTCTCTCTCTCTCTCTCTCTCTCTCTCACACACACACACACACACACACACACACACACACACACACACACACATGCACACACAAACACAGTATGGGGGTAGAAAGAAAGAAATGGGGGGGGGTACTGAGATACATTACAAAAAGTGCCCTGGGCAAGCTCTGGGACAGAGAGGCTCTAGTATTGGAATAAAGGATAAGTTCTTTTTGTAGCAGTCAAAAGGAAAGTCTTATTGGATGATGCATCTGTGCCATATCTAGATGATTAGTGGGCATTTCATTAATTATCTAAGGAACAAATTGTGCCTTTTACTTTGAGTCTAGCCCTTAACAGCTGAGCCATCTCTCTAGTCGGGCTGTTCCTTCTCCTTCATATTGGTTACCTGTGTAAAGACATTTCGAAGGAGCCAGGCTCTGGACAGTGTGCTCTAAGACAGAGTGGAACTAGGGCTTATTATGGCTAACTCTGACAAGATAATAGCCCTGCTTGTAGACAGACAACAGCCTTCTTCTGAGCTCCACCTACTTGGAGGTTATAATGGCTCAGCAGAATACTCCATCCAACAACAGCAACCAGTTAGTATGTTCCCTAGAGGCATCAGGGTTTAAACTACCAGAGTTGCCTGATTACTTACATCCTGGTAACCAAAATATCTCAGTAAGTTTTTGAAACCTCAATTATGATAGATGTCTTATCCAGAGATAGGTCTGAGTAAGTGTGTTGACTATTTTCCACTTCTTTACTCAGTCCTAGCTTCAAGAGCATAGCACTGGAGATCAGGTCCTTCGGGTCCTAGCTGGCTATCTCCTGGCAGGGCTGAGCAGAGGAAGGAAGTATCACAGAAAAAGGGAGATGGGAGGCTGAGGATGGAGGCAAACATTCCTGTTTCTTCCTGGCCAGGCACCCTGATTCAGGTCCCAGTTCAGCCCTTCCACAGGGCTCCTTGTGCCAAACTCTAGCTCTCCCTGGAATCATAGTTTCTCCCTTTCCCTTCAGGAGAGGATATAGCAATGGCAGAAGTGTTTTAACTTCAAAACAGGACCAGGAAGGGATGAAGAATAGGAAAGAAATCTGTTAGAGCTGCTAGAACCCTTAGAATTACTACTACGCAAGTCTACACATGATCTTACACACATTCACAACAATATAAGAGAAAGGAAGCTGTAAAGGGAAGGCAGAAATGGTTGTCAAAGATCCAGATCCATCATAAATAAACAGCTACCCTGCATGTTTCCATGTCAGGATTAATTGGAAGCCATTGAGCTTTAGCTATATGGTCATTTCTATGTAGAAAGGGCACCATATTATCTTCACATTGGAGCTCTGGCAAAGCACAACAATAAAAAGCAGCTTTGAAAATTCCATAGATCTCGACACACAACTGCAAAGAATCTGTTTTAAACTGGCAGCCACTTAGAAAGATTTAATGTATAAATCACTCAGTCACTTGTTTGTTTTAGAGGCAGGGGGGCCGCGCATTGTCTACATCAGCCACAAACTGCTCGAGGCTGGCCTTGGATTCACAATTCTCCTGCTTCCACTTGCAGAGGGCTGGAATTACATGTGTGCACTACTGTCTGGCTATAAATCACTCTCAAATGGTTGGCAGACTAGATAAATGAACCGACAGTTAATGTGTTTACTTAAAATAAGTTTAAAAGCAAAAATATCTGGGCATGGTGATATAACTCCAGCACTTAGGAGGCCGAAGGCTAGCTACAAGTTCAAGCCTAGACTTGTACATGCCATAGGCAAACAAGCAAGCAGAGACAGAGGCACAACACTGTATTAATAGGGGCAGGTGTATTAACAGGACCACTGAGAGGATAAGCAGTCAAAATGACATCACACCATGCACAAGGTGAGGGGAACCTTAGAAGAGTCTGAAGGTGACAAGCAGTGACTGAATAATGACTGAGTTCACTGCCTCCTAGAGAGAAAATGACTTGGGATCTGGGGTGATGTAAAATATTATTTGAAAGTGTGGTACTTTTGTTTATGCTGTGGAATATTCGTTTAATGATGTAAATATGTATTGCTTTTGTCTAAGTCTGTGAAGATGTGATACTTTGCCTGTCTAAAACACTTGATGATCTAACAAAGAGCTGAAGGGCCAATAGCTAGGCAGGAGAAAGGATAGGAGGGGCTGCCAGACAGAAAGAATAAATAGGAGGAGAAATCTCAGAACAAGGAGGTGCAAGAGAACAAGAAGAGGAAGATGCTAGGGGCCAGCCACCTAGCCACACAGCCAGCCATGGAGTAAAAAGAAAAGTATACAGACATAAGAAAGATAAAAGCTCAGAGGGAAAACGTAGATGGAATAATTTGAGATAAGAAAAAAAAAAAGCTGGCCAGCCTTGAACACATTGGCAGAGGAAACCACTTCCTAAATATAACCCCAGCAGCACAGACACTGAGAGAAACAATTAATAAATGGGACCTCCTGAAACTGAAAAGCTTCTGTAAAGCAAAGGACATGGTCAACAACACAAAATGGCAGCCTACAAAATGGGAAAAGATCTTCAGTAACCCCGCATCAGAGGGCTGATCTCCAAAATATACAAAGAACTCAAGAAATTGGTTATCAAAAGAACAAATAATCCAATAAAAATCGAGTACAGACCTAAACAGAGAACTCTCAACAGAGGAATCTAAAATGGCTGAAAGACACTTAAGGAAATGTTCAATATCCTTAGTCATTAGAGAAATGCAAATTAAAACAACTCTGAGACTCCATTTGACCACCTGTAAGAATGGCCAAGATCAAAAACACTGATGACAACTTATGCTGGAGAGGTTGTGGGGTAAAGGGAACACTCCTGCACTGCTGGTGGGAGTGCAAGCTGGTACAGCCCCTTTGGATGTCAGTGTGGCAATTTCTCAGAAAATTAGGAAACAGCCTTCCTCAAGACCCAGAAATACCACTTTTGGTATATATCCAAAGGATGCTCAATCGTGCCACAAGGACATGTGCTCAACTATGTTCATAGCAGCTTTGTTTGTCATAGCCAGAACCTGGAAAAAAACCTAAATGCCCTTCGACCAAATAATGGATAAGGAAAATGTGGTACATTTACACAATGGAGTACTACACCGAAGAAAAAAATAATAACATCTTCAAATTTGCAGGCAAATGGATGGAGCTAGAAAACATCATCTTGAGTGAGGTAACCCAGACCGAGAAAGTCAATTATCACATGTACTCACTCATAAGTGGCCTTTAGACATACAGCAAAGAAACCCAGCCTACAAATCACAATCCCAGAGAACCTAGACAACAATGAGAACCCTAAGAGAGATATACATGGATCTAATCTACATGGGAAGTAGAAAAAGACAAGATCTCCTGAGTAAATTAAGAGCATGGGGACTTTGGGAGAGGGTTGAAGGAGAGGGAAGAGGCAGGGAGGGGAGCAGAGACCAACGTAGAGCTCAATAAAAATCAATGAAAAAAAAAGAGAAATAAATTACTTCTACATCCCATACATAAAAATTCTCAGATGCCAAAATTGGGTTCTAGAGAACGAAGAAAGTCAGGGGAGGCTGCGCAGAACACCATTTTCCTAGAAAGCATGATGTGAAACTCCTAAAGAGTTAATAAAGAAGGGTGATCAGACTAATACAGTGTAAAGCAGGGAGGAAGGGAGGGGGGAGGGGAGGGAGGAGGGGAGGGAGGGAGGGAGGGAGAGAGGAGGGGAGGGAGGAGGGGAGGGAGGGAGGGAGGGAGGGAGAAGAAACAAGTTTTCAGACAGATATGGCGACAAGCCTGCAATCCTGGCACTCAGGAGAGAGGGGCAGGAGAACTCAGGAAGCCTGAAGCCTGTTTGACTCCCTAATGGTTTCTCAGAGCTAGGATTACAGGAATGCCCAGGCAAGAAACAAATATTTTAATGCTCGAAAAGTGTTTTTAAAATGTACTACTTTTAATTATTGGCTTCATTCTTTTCATATGCTTATTTTTATTACAAAAACACCCCTCATTTCTCAATGATTGAAAGGCAAGAACAATAAAATCACAAAACCCTTCTTAAAGCGGCTTCTTATTTTAGTTCAGTTTCGGTGACCCACACATGTTCAGTGTCTTCTTTACCTTTCAGGAACCCCCTTCCCGTCATTTACACAACATCAGCTAGGTCTTCTTAATGCTGTCTGAGATGCTGGAAACCACCTGAGTTTCTAATTCAATGCTACCTTTCCAAGGGATCGCATAGGGTTTCATCATACACTTGTTAAATACAAGAAAGTCTTTAAGAGTCCCACACAACTCTTTAATTATAGTTCTGAATCATGTAATAAGCATGCAGAAGATATTTTTGAATAAAGGGGGCTTTCCTTCTTTTCTCTAATTGCATAATTTTAGCAGCCACCTCTTCCACCTACTTCTAAGACCACGACTGCATTTGTATTTCCTTAGAAGGGAATATTTACCTATTAGACAGCGTGCTGCTTTCCACGTGGTAAGGTTTCCTTTTCGTTGACCTTGAAGGAGACCGATCCAAAAGTCTCTGGGTTTGAAATGTAGGGTGATTCAAACACTGCTCTGTCAAATATCTGTCAGCTGGGTCCAACTTCAGTAAATTCTTGTGAAATAAAAGTTGAGGAACGGAAAGAACAAAGTTGAATTTAAACTCTACCAATTACCTTATCCTTTCTTCCTAGAAAAGAAATATGTGGTCACTGCAAAATACCTAGCAACAATAGCTCAAGGAATGAAAAAAAAGTCGCCCACAACCTGACAATTATAGTCCTCTTGGTAGAAATCTTTCTAGCTGTGCTTATGAGTACCACATATAATCTTTCTGCTATAATACCTGGCTCGTGGTATGCACTTGTTTTTATATCCCATTCTTTTCACTTACTTATAAAAAAACATATTTTTTGCAGTATAACTTAAACATTTAAAAACCTTTTTAATAAGCCTATATTTGCATTCTTCATCTTTCTACTGTCTTTAAGATACCCAGTTATTCTCTCTGGAGACAGAGCACTAGTTCCCCGTGCATTATACATTAGGTATATTATATATACATGAGGTATAATCTGCACATACTTTCCTCTGACTCTTTTCATTTTACCCCCATAGTTGTAAGCACACAACTGTATGTATTTAGTTTCCCTTCCACTTAGCATGCAATGTTGAGATCATTCCATAAAGTACAGAGCTTTAACTCTCTGTGTATACTTCATACTTTGGTTTTAGAATTCCCAGATGACTAATAGGTCACATTGTTTCCAACAGTTTCCTTTTTCTGAAGCACGTGGCAACACACCATCTCACAATATGCTTTTTGGGAAGGGTGGGGAATGAAGCGAAGGCTTTGTGCATACTGAGCAAGTGCATAACAATCAAGCTACATCCTCAACCTTACAAGGAGGTGTATCTGGGCAACTGCAGGCTGAGCCCCGAGCCTCTGCCTCCTCCCATCTTAATAAGGCTTTAAATGATTGTCAGAAGCTTGTGGCATGAGTCTCTCATGATTTACTCAGCAAGCATCCTACTACTAGATACTTGAATGATAGCCACCTTTCACTATCATGATTAGTGCTATGTATGACAAAACACTTGAAATCGAATGGAGTCTTTCTTAAAGGTGGCACTGGTAGGTATTGTCCCTTCATGCTGCCAAATTACCAATTAGGAAGGTTGTTTTAAATTATAATCCTCTCAGGAAGTGTTGGAGTCTACCAGTTTCTGGGGACCCTCACCAACAATAGGCATTCTCACACTTCTTAGGAGTTGCAAATCAGATATTATAAAAGCTTCTGTATCACAGCTGTTTGTTTCAAGTTATTATTGCTGTGTATGTGTGTGTGCGCGCACACACGTGCATGCATGCACCACGTGTGTGCAGTTGCCCTCCGAGGCTGGAAAAGGACATGAATCCCCTGCAACTGGAGTTACATGTGCCTATGAGTCATCCAAATAGGTGCTAGGAACCAAACATGGGTGCACTGCAGGAGCAGCAAGTGGCTTTAACCACTGAGCCACGGCTCCAGTCTCTCTTACAGATGTTTTGCCTCGTATCTTTGCTGTTAGCAAGGCTGCTGACCAGTCACTGACACAGTCTCCTCACGTATTTTCCTGTTTCTGCAGGCATCCCTACTTAGTTTTAAGTGTTCTTTGTTCATTAAGGCACTAGCCCTCTGTGTTATGTGGAATGCACTAACAAGTGTTTTCACTAAAATTGCTCATTTTAGCTGGACAGAATTTTTTAGTTGATTGATAAAATGATCAAATTATCATAAAAAATAATCAACATACCCTAACACAGGGCAATAAAGTGCCGGCATTCATTCTTCTAGGTATTTGTTATCTCAGGAAAAGGAAGATGGGTAAAATTCCAACATTCACAAATGTGCTTCTAGCTCAGTTTGGTCTGATCCATAATATA